TTGGCAAGTAGCCTATGGCCTCAACTAGTGTTATACCAAATACGAGATCTATCCAAGTTGATGATTTTGCTGAAAGGCGTTATACAAGTCCGAGGCCTACATCTACCCAAAGATGACAAGGAATAAGGGATGCTACAGAGGAATTGCTTAATGAATTTGGCTTGGAATAGGATATCTATGACGAAAGGGGCCGAGGTCGAGCCAACGATGTTGATGACAACATACAGCCCATCAAGTTCTCCATACCACCTTTCGTAGGATCGACTGATCCTAATGAGTTTCTTGAGTGCAAAACAAAGTGGAGATGATGTTTGTCTGTCATAATTACTCGGACCACAAGAAAATTCAGTTCGTTGTTGTGTAGTTTAAGGAGTATGCTCTTGTTTGATGGGAGATACAAGCTGATATTGCAAGGTCCGGAATGCTTCCGATTGAGATATGGTGACGTAACCTGTGGGGGTTTGTATATTTTTCTCAAGTTGAAAAAGAATAACCTTAATCAATGTAAGAAATTCGAGAAAGAAAATAGATAAGAAAGAATAGAAATTTGATGGCCAACCTAGTTGATTAAGAACCTCAAGAATTCAATTTGGACCCAAAATCCTAACTATGGAAAAGGAACAAATCGATAAGCTTAATTCCTCTGCAAGAATTTAGAAGCCACGAACCAATGGATAATTCTAAAGACCCGATTTCATACTTTGAAAGTAAATACGGTGAAAAACATTATTTTTCAAAAGAAAAGAAATATATTATGACCAAAGTTGATATGAAAATGGATAAGAGTCTATATATATGTCAAAAGGATGGGGACAGAACAATTACTACAATTAAATTGACAATACATTCTCATGGAGAACATATTTCAATATACGTAATTGTTACATGTTCCCAAAAGCTTATTACCAATATCATAATAATGTCAACATATTATCAAAAGAATACATTTCTAAGATTGTAATTAATTGTAGTATATTCCCAAAAAGTGATGCAAGCAATGATGTCAATGCTATGATGTAAGCAATGACATCATCACATGTCTTCAATTATTTTTATTTGTATAACCGTTAAGCTCGGGCCAATAGGTCTCCATACTTCATATTTGTTTATATTATTCATCTCGAGCTCTCGGACTAAGTAGGAAAATTGATCTTGAAGGTTACGAGCTCAGTTTCGGGTAATTGGTCCAAGTGGTTCGGGAGACTTTTAAATGTCCACGTCACATGGGCATCCCTTACTTAAGCTATGCATGCACGTTTTGTGCCCCCACATTATCGGATGGCTATTCTTCATAAAATTTAATTTTTAGTCCAAGGTAGCAAGATAGTTGAGCAGAACTACAAGGAAATGGAAATGCTTATGATGCGGGCTCAATTTGTGGAAGATGATGGAGTCAACATGTATCGGTTTCTCAAAGGGTTGAGTGATATGGATGTGAAAAGATTGGGACTTGCAATTTCACATATTCCAATTGGACCAGTCTCGAGAGCTAGAGCGATAACGTGCATTAAAAAATTGCAAGGCTTGATAAAGAAGTTGGAGATTTGGAACCCAACCGACGGACTATGTTACAACATGCGATAACTTGATGGAAAGCCTAGGGCGGGTGCCGTGGTAGTAAAAGTTACATTGGTGTTTGCAACGCCTTAATCGGACAACTAACAGAAAAGTTGTGCAAACCTAGAAGTGTGCTAAAATAGAGGGGTTAATATGTAATTATATAAACCTAGGATTGCACGTGCATTAAGTGGGGGACCATCTCTTTGGACCACTTCTATATAATATGGAACCTCACATGCATGGGGGGACCATTAGGCTACGTGTCTCTCATTGGGAGATTACTTATACAAATCACTCCACTTTCCCCTTCTCCCACCCCTATAAATAAGACCATTAAGGTGTTTTGTAAGACACACTAAGCAAAATTATATTTTAATGAATATTTGATCATTTATGATCATTTTCTTTTATGGATGTTATGCTTACAGTTCTCTTTTAGTCTAATATTTCATGGAATGTTATTTCATGGTATGCTCCAAGGGATTTAGTTTCAAAATTTGGGTTTGAGTGCACATTTTGTAATTGTCAATTGAAATTTACTGGCTTGGCTTCTAGTGATTGGTTCAAAATGAATTATGATTAGGTCCGATTCAGTCATGATGACCATATATCAAAGAGGATCTTTGTTGGAAAACACATTGTTCCAACTGAGGTTTAGTATAATTGTCATGACATAATGTTCTATCAGATCCATGTAATGATCGAGATCAAGTATCTGACTGAGGATATCACTAAGTGGTTCATACCCACTTAAGACACGTTCCATCAAATGAATCACACGATGCATGGTCCTTCTGCCTCTATAAGAGAATTTAAATTTGAAATTCAATTGTTTAAGTACTTGTATAAGTTCTTCGGAATGGCAACCAACAAGCTGTTGCCTAACCATAAAATGTTGTAATGAATTTTCCCGGTTCCTAGATAAAACACGAATATGCGGGGAAGACATTGTGATGGAAAAGACTTGAAATTTAAAGGTATAAATTGCCAACTACGAGGTATGGTTATTTATAGTTGAAAGCTTGGGGTCCAGATTTAATACGTACTGGATAAGTTTTGCAAATGGTCGATGTGTTATCCATAAAGATAGGCTAAATTTACGAGATTATATGACTTGATCAAAGTTATTTCATTACAAAAATGAGGCGTTACAAAAGGGCGTCGAGGGCGGCCCGAATTTTGGTCCATTATGCTAGGACCGGGCTGCCCGACGGTTTAGAAAAGTTATCTGATGTGCGTTCATAAGCTGCGAACGGATGAATGCCTACAGTTCTCGCGATAGGTTGGTTCGGCTTTGCCAGTATTTATCAATCAGACGTTTTTCTTCTTGGATGCAGCCGTCCAGGGCGATCTGCTCCCTTTTGAGATTCTCCAACTCCTTTTGAAGACGCTCCAATTCTCTTTGCTTCATGGTAATATCCTTGTTAAGGATGGTTTGAGCCTGGAGTAGGCCATCAAGTCTCGCGCCAATTTGTCTGAGGTCTTCGTTGGTCATTGATAGTAAGGCCTCAATTGTGGTCGGATCATCTTTGGGCGGAGGCTGAGACGGCTCTACTAATGGAGTTCGAATCACGGAATGAATCACGAGAAGATTGGCTTGTAGTTCCTTGATCAGTTCCATCAAACGGTGAAAGACTAAAGTAGCGTCCGACCTAGTGGGATATTGGACCAACAGATCGTGTATGACTTGAGCCAAAGCCAAAAGTACTTCATGGCTTAAGTCATAGAAGGACAAAGTTACAATTGGTCACCACTATTCAGATGTCGATCGGGAGTGGAATCCAGAAATAGGGAAATAGAAATATTCATATTTCTCTTGTTTGGTTAAGATAGAAAATTTAGGATTAATAAATAAATTATTTTATATTCTTGTGTATTTATTTATTTATTTTTTACATTGAAATTTTACGATTTAATTTGTGTTTATTTATTATTTAATTTTTATGATTTTTATATTATTCAAATTTCATAAAATATCATATCTAAATTATTCTTAAAATAAATTATCAAGCTAAATTTATAACTAATTAATACAATAATATTTTTCTTATCCAACTTATCATTTTTAGTGATCGTTTTTTTTTTCTTTTCAACTAGCAATATGGGTTATGCATTGTATATATATATCTATTATTTCTCAATTGAATTATATGTTTTATGGAACAAAAGAATCAATTCTTATTTTCTACTGAATCAATTTCATTTTCTATTATCATTTGTGTGCAATTTCATTCTCTATACCAAATGCATTAGTTCTCATTAATTATTTTTCTCTGCAATTCTATTTTCTCTGTACTAAATGTCCCTTAAATGTCTTTTATATTGCAGCAGCCTCAAAACGTAATCTATATTATATATAATTTTTTAACATTGTCTCTATCTCTATATTAGAAAAAAAACCATCAAAAAGGCATTCATTGTACATGCATTTAGTACCGACCCTAAATATAATAAAAGTATTAATATAATTATAAACAATTAATACAATTATGTACATAACTTGTATATTTTTTATGATATATTTATATAATATTTAAAATTATTTTCATAGACATCATACTTTAAAATTTTATCATCTCACATAATTTTTTAAAATCTATTACATAAATAAATTGATAATATAAAATATTACAATTTCTTTTATTCTTTTTAAATTTAATAGTATAGATTGAAATAATTTTAAGTAACTTTTTTAAATGATCTAATTTAACATTATTCATATATAAATGACTAAATTGTACAAAATTCATCTTTGATTCACGAAATTGCGCTAAATTCCCTATACTTATAAAATTGCGTCAAATTCTCTCGTGGTTTCATAAACTCTACGTCTAACATTTCGACGGTCCTTATTAACGGTATTTAACCTAAATACGTTCAAGCTGAGATTAAATTGTAGAATCTCAATTTTTAAACTCCTAAAATTATAAATATATATTTTTATATTTAGCTAAAAAATAGTAAAAATAAACTTGTAAAACCTCAAAAAATAACTATTTTTGAATATATTTTTTATTTTTTTAAGACTAAATATAAGAAAAATGAATATAAAATTTATTTGCAATTTGAGCGCATTTAGATTAGAGAGTTTATGAAACCACGAGATAATTTGAAACAGATTTAAAAACATAGAAAATTTGGCGCAAATTTATGAAACTAAGTGTAGTTCTTTTTTGTGCAATTTAGCATATATTTGACAAATTATTATTAATAAATTTATAAAAGAATAATAAGAAAGAAAAAATATTTAATTAAAAAATTTAAAATTTTGAAAAAAATAACGAAATCCAAATCGTCTGCTTTTGATGTTGGAAAAGCTACGACTTAGCGTTGTTTTTATTATATATATATATATATATAAATATAATAATTAAAATATTTGAATAATTTATTAATAATCTCCATTAACAGTGGCATGGCAATTGGCATTGGCAGGAACGCGAAGCTCCCCCGCAAAAGGAAACAAAGGAAGGGGAACGAATTACGAAAGCTAAAGCTGGTCGCGCTGCTTTCTGCTTTCGCCCCTCCCCTCACCCGCCTTCGATTTTCTTCCTAGTATTCCTATTTGTATTTTTCTTTCTTGTCGTCATATCCTTGCGCCCTTCTTCCTTGCCTGCCCTTTCTCTTTTTCTATTTCAAAATGCATGCCATCCGTCTCTGCCCATAATCTGCACCGATATTCATTTGAAGGGGTCCGATTTTCTTTCTTCTTTTGGTTTATTTTATTTCCCTTAATATATTCTACAATATTATTATTAATGGTCAATTGCCGCGTTTTTGACGACGATTGATCAATACGGGGGGTCATATAACCCGAGTATCGTATCGTGATCGTGGGTGTCTACAGAATTTTCAAAATTTTGGCGACCTTTGGTATTAACGACTCGATTTTTTTTTTGATCCTCTGAAAAAAGTTGGACTTTTTTTGCTCCCAAGTTTTTGTTCGGAGTGATCGTTGCAAGGGATCAATCATTTTGGGTGGGTGATTGCTGGTTTTGGTTTGGTTCCGTGGAGAAGGTGAAGGTGGTTCTGGCAAGCGAAGGGGCGTGCACTTTGTTCATTGGTAATTTTTCGGTCCCCGCCATCAACTTTGGTAGATATAGTCTGTGGGCCGCATCATTGTAGTTTAATTCACTTTTGACGCACAAAAAGGAAGGAAAATAGCTGCCTTTTTAATCTAACTATACCTGTTTGTGAGGCTCATTGAATTGAATATAATAAGAGGTTTCTTTGACTAGAATATCCAAGGAGGATTGTGGATCACCTTTCCTTCAGTCTATGGAATCGTTGCCAGTGGCGTTTGTTTGTAAGGGTGAGGGCGATGGGATGATGTCATCTGATATGGTATCAGAAAATGATGTGGCAGTTGATGCTTCAAAGGGCACAGGTAATGGGAGGAGGGATGACTATGGTTCGGACAATGATGAATTACCATATGGTGGTGTGGATATCTCCAACAAGGATGAGGCAAAAGGTGAGGCTGTGTTGGGCAATGATGACTTGATATACTGTAGCGTGGATGCCTCCACTAAGGATGACACAGAAAGTGAGGCTGCAATGGATAATGATGGTTTAGACAATGATGAATCACCATTCTATGGTATGGAAACCTCAGCCGAGGATGAATCGAAAGGTAAGGCTGCATTAGGAAATGGTGAGTCCTCATTCTCTGGTGTGGATATCTTCACCAATACTGAGGGAAAAGGTGCGGCTGCATTGGGTGTTGATGAACCACCAAATTGCGGTGTTGGTGCCTCAACCAAAGATGAGATGAATTGTGAGGCTGCACGGGGCAGTGATGGTTCAAACAACGATGGATTTCCATGGTGTGTTGTGGATGCCTCCACCAAGGACGGGGCAAAAGGTGAGGCTGCCTTGGGCATTGATGACACATCCTATACATTGGCCAATAATGCTTCACACAACAATGAATCGCCATCCTGTGTTGTGGATACCTCCACCATGGATGAGACAAAAGGTGATGGTGCATTGGTTAGTGATGAATCAGACTGTAGTGTTGACGATACTCCCACCAAAGATGAGGCAAATGGTGAGCCTGCATTGGGCAATGATGGTTCAAGCAACATTGAATCACCCTATAGTGTTGCGGATACCTCCACCAATGATGAGGCAAAAGGTGAGGTTGGGTTGGGTGTTGACGAATCAACTTGTTTTAATGTGGTCACCCCCACGAAAGATGAGGCAGATAGTGAGACTGCATTGGTCAGTGATGGTTCAAACAGCAATGAATCGCCCTACTGTGTTGTGGATACCTCCACGAAGGATGAGGCAAAAGGTGAGGCTGCATTGGTCGATGATGAATCTCACTATTGTGGTGTGGATACCCCCATCAAAGATGAGGCAACTGCTGAGGCTGCATTGGGAAATGATGGTCCAAACAACAACGAATTGCTGTACTGTGATGCAGATACGTCCACCAAAGATAAGGCAAAAGGTGAGTCTGAATTGGTCAGTGATGAATCACACTACAATGGTGAGGATATTTCCACCAAAGATGAGGTAAAAGGTGAGGCTGCATTGGGCAATGATGGTTCAAAAAACAATGAATCACCTTACAGTGTTGTGGATACCTCCACCAATGATCTAGAAAAAGTTGAGGTTGCATTGGGCGTTGATGAATCACCTTATCGTGGTGTGGGTTCTCCCGCAAAATATGGGGCAAATGATGAGGCTGCATTGCGCAATGGTACAAACAACAATGAATTGCAATATTGTGGTGTGGATATCTCCACCAACGATGAGGCAAAAGGTGAGGTTGCAACGGGCAATGTTGGTTCAGATAACGATGAATCGCCAAACTGTGTGGAGACCTCCGCCAAGGATGAGGTGAAAGGTGAGGCTGCAGTGGGCAATAATGGTTCAGACAACAATGAACTGCCATACTATGACACCAAGGATGAGACAAAAAGTGTGGTTGCATCGCGTGATGATGGTTATGATCTTAAGAAGACGGATGATCCTATGAAGTTATATAAGCAATCTCATGTTGACTCTAAGTGGAGTGACACCACCCTGGACACTTTGAAAAAGGTATCTATGGAGTTCCACAAATATATATAATCTATTTAATACCTTGATTTTACTTTTTTATTTGGTTATTGTTCTTGGATGGTAAAAACTGTTTTGTTCTCATAGACAACTCCTACTAGCTCTCATTATTCTGGAACAAAATATTGAATGACATTGTATGTTTGGTGAAACATTTTACGTATGCATGGGCAGAACTTGAAGTGGAGACAACAAGCTTTATACTTGCTTAATTTATTGCTAATGACTGCATCTGCTAACGCTCGTTTTATTTTTACTTTTTGGCATTTTGTTTTTCAGAAGCATTACTCATGGTTTCAACTTCCTAATGGTAATTGGGAGCTGGCAACAACCATTAAGACTTATGGAAATGAATCATTAATATCATATTCCGAGGGAAAAGTGAGCGCGGATTTAGTTTCTTCTGTTAGATGTTTCTATACTGCTAAATATGTAATATTCTGTTGATTTCCTTATCCAGGTTATAAGGGTGAATTCAGAAATTCTGTTGCCAGCAAATCCTGATATACTTGATGGTGTTGATGATCTTATTCAGCTAAGTTATTTCAATGACCCTTCAGTATTGTATAATCTTCAGTACAGATACAATAGAGACATGATTTATGTAAGTGATCATGTTTGTGCTAGTTTATTCAAATTTTATGATTGTCTGATTTATTTCATCGGTTTCTACTTTTATGTTCATCTCAGACCAAAGCAGGTCCTGTTCTTGTTGCTATTAACCCCTTTAAGAAAGTGCCATTGTATGGAAATGATTATATTGAAGCTTATAAGCGCAAATCTATGGATAAACCACATGTATATGGCATAACTGACACTGCTATGCGGGAAATGATTCGAGGTGATATATTTACTATAGGTGTTTAAAAGTATATCTTATAACTCCAGTGACTCTCAGTGTTTTAACATAATTATGTGAACTGCAGATGAAGTTAATCAATCTATCATTATAAGGTCAGTTAAATGCCATTTTATACACATCCATTTCTGAAATCCTTTTCCTTTCTTTCACACTTGCATTCCACTGTTTTTGCATGCAATCTTCATTTCCTTCAATTGCACTGAAATCATTGCATTTTACATATTGAGAGAATAGAACATTCATCTCTGTTGGTTACAATGATGTGCCAAAACAGTTTATAATTTATCATTTTTGTTTATATCGTTGCTCTTTATATGTTAATATGATCTCTTCTGTGTACTTCATATTGAATGCCCTATAAATACATTACTGATGCTATTGTATTGTTCTCAAGGACAAGTGCTTGCTCACTGAAAATTTTGTTTGGTATATTTACTATTTTAGATTAAATGCAACGAGTCAATTGAAGAGTATTTCTATTGCATGCATCCTTTTTTTTGTTCACTCTATAGTCTAAATGGTTTGTATGTTCAAAGGTTTGGAGTTCTTTCATGAGATACCTGTAGACTTTGGAGGGGGTACTTGAACAATTAATGAATTTGTAGAATTCTAACACTTGAGACATTTTTCTAAAATAGTACTTGAAGCACTACCTCTACTATTAGAGTGTCAATAAATCGAAGATATATTGATGAAACTTAAAAATAAGTAAAAGCTGGATGTTTGGCATCGAATTGGTCTATATCATCTCATGCTTGAGTTCATTCTACTAATACGGGGTTATCGATGCTATAAGGATTTCTTTTCATTGTTGGATGTGGGAAGAATCACCTACTGAGGTCAAATCTTCACCACCATCAGGCAAGTGGTCAAAATGTCAAATAATATCTAGAGGTGGTCTTCCTTTAGCTTATCAGTTTCCCTTGCTGATAAATGTATAGTAACATAGTAATGTGGTGTTGCCACCATTTCTAGAGACATAATGCCATCTTAGCAATCTTTACATCAACATCTCTTAGCGCTGTAATTTTAATACATGGAAAACATATGTTCTTCAAGTTTTATAATAATTTCCAATGTCATAAACTTTTGATATATGATGATATTCCATCACATTATCCCAATGATCATGGTATAAAATCTTTTTACTGTAATCTTTTATCCTCAGAAAGTTGTAGAAATATAATTAGAATAAAAATAAATGCCCTATTGATGCAACATAACGGAGATATGATGTATTAGAACCACAATGAATTGCCCGTCTTAATTTTCTTGGTGTGAAATTGTGGAGAATCTGACTTATTAGATCCTTGATAAGTGGATCAATTTGCTAATTTTTAATCAACTCGTAGTTGAGATAGAAGCATGCTTCGTAACTGCAAACACTGCTCTGTTTATAAAAAAAAATAAAAATAATATAAAAATAAAAAATTGTGTCTATAAGTAGTTTTACTTTGCGGAGCTTGACTTCTTTCATATTCTTTTAGATAATGTTTACTATGTATAAGTTGTGATTCTGATGGGGCTCTCTTGTAATCAACACTTGATAAAGTGTCTTTCTGTTGATCTATTATATTCAGTGGAGAAAGTGGAGCTGGTAAAACTGAGACTGCAAAAATAGCCATGCAATATTTGGCTGCCTTGGGTGGCGGTAGTGGGATAGAGTACGAGATACTGAAAACTAATCCAATTTTGGAAGCCTTTGGTAATGCCAAAACATTGAGAAATGATAACTCAAGTCGATTTGTAAGTTGCTTTGTTGTAGGCCACTTGTCTTTCTCTGTTTCATGAGAAAGAAGTCCATCTTCTGTTGTGGATGTCAGAACTAAGCTTTTTGTTTTTTTCTTTGCAGGGGAAGCTGATTGAGATTCAGTTTAGTGAAACTGGAAAAATAGCTGGTGCCATCATCCAAACTTGTGAGAACATATCTACCATGGCAGATTTATATATATATATATATATGTATTTCAAATTATTAGATACTAACACTATAAAAGACTAATTGAATCTATTTATGTTATGCTCATCCAATGCGGTTCGTTGACTCCTAATAGATTTACTGGAGAAGGTATTCATTATTATACTTTAGGCTGTTTCATTACAATCATTTTTATTCAATACAAAATGACTTCAGACTGATGGTTTTAACCAACAGTCCAGAGTTGTTCAATGTTCAGAAGGGGAGAGGTCCTATCATATCTTTTACCAACTTTGTGCTGGAGCTCCGCCCAGCCTTAGAGGTGCAGCATCATCCCTTCTTATGTAGCTCTAGAGCCAATCATATATGTTATCCAATATTCTAGTTTAGTTCATCTTTTTATTATTTCTTGATTCCCGCACTAACATTTAAATTTTATTTTTATCTACCTGTTGTTTATTTCTCTTTTTCCTTACTGTTTGTACTGATCCCCCCCTCCCCCCTCCTGCGAAGAAAAATTAAACTTAAAGAGTGTTGAGGAGTTCAATTATTTGAAGCAAAGCAATTGTTATTCAATTCCTGGAGTTGATGATGCCAAACAGTTCCATATAGTGACGGTAAACCATGCAGATTTGTTCTTATCATTCTCTGGCATTTTTTTTCCCAATCTTTGACTGATTTAGCAAATTCTTCATCAAAACAGGAAGCCCTGGATATTGTTCATGTTAAAAAGGAAGACCAAGAAAGCATATTTGCAATGCTGGCTGCAGTACTCTGGTTAGGGAATGTCTCCTTTACTGTGATTGATGCTGAGGATCATGTTGAACCAGTGGTGGATGAAGGTTAGGTTATTTAGAGAAGATTATGCGAATAATTATTTTGCAAATGTGTGGTGAAGAAGGTTGAGGTTCTGATCATTATAGTCATGCCATAATAATAACTAGAAAAATACATTTATCTGTTCCATAATAGTCTGTTTTACAATTATACTAATAGGTAGCTTACTATTGGTTCAGAATATAATTTCATAGAAGCTAGATGTGTTGTATGCATATGCGTGCGTGTGCGTGTACATGTGCTTGAACGTCATATGTCCTATTCTTAGGTCTAATCAATGTTGCTGCATTGATTGGGTGCAATGTTGAGGAACTAAAGCGCACGTTATCTACTCGAGAAATGAAAGTTGGGAGAAGGAATGATACAATTGTTCAAAAGCTTACCCTAGCCCAGGTTAGTCAGTTTTATGAAATTGATCACTTAAATAATTAGAAAAGAGCTTCCGTGATCTATCTAAATATAAAAATCTCATAAATTATATAATTTTGTATTCCACTTAATATTTCAGGCCATTGATACACGAGATGCGTTGGCAAAATCAATTTATTCTTGTTTGTTTGATTGGCTAGTGGAACAAATCAATAAATCACTGGCAGTAGGCAAAAGACGCACAGGAAGGTTCATTAGTATCCTTGATATTTATGGTTTTGAATCATTTAAGGTGTGTGCTTGTAACTATACATTTTTTTTTTTTACTTTTAAATATATATATTTTTTAATAATTGTGATTATCTTTTTATCTTTTTGTTTAGAGGAACGGTTTTGAGCAGTTCTGTATCAATTATGCCAACGAAAGATTGCAACAACATTTTAATCGCCACTTATTCAAATTGGAGCAAGAGGTACTGTTTTCTCATCTGTTATATTGCCATTCATAAATATTATATATTCTGACTTATGCCATTGTTTACATTTCATTTGTTCTTCAAGCTTGAACTAGACTTCAATATATAGTATGTACCTTTATCTTGACATGGTCTTCTGCCTTGACCTGAGTGTAATGAACTTATGCTAATGCTTGCAAAGCACATCTTTTGACATTCCCAACATTTGAATTTAAAAGCTAAAGTAAATAGGATGAGTTATTAGATAGCTATGAAATATTTCATCTAATATTGTGGCTGATCATTTCTCTTCCTCTCTCTCTCTTATATACATATATTTATTAATGATAGGGTAGTGCACTCCATTTTCCCTGGAAATAGTAAATTAGTGGAGGCATGTAAGATGACGTTTAAGGCATTATTATTTTAAGTGCCCCTAGCTAATGGATTAATTGTGAAGGTTCTCTTGTATCTTTCCAAATGATGTCTTTTGTCCTATAAGAAGTACTATCCCTGTCTCAAGTATTTTGTCAAATCATGCCCCCCTGTACTATAAGAATACTCTCTGTGTCCAGGCCAACAGCTTGAACTCTAAATCAAAATTTTAGATAATTCTATGACGCTAATCCTGACTAACCTAACCTAGGGCTATCCTGAAATAATATAATGGGAGATAATCCTAGTGGATCTAATTCTAATATAACAGCCTTGCCATCAAGGCAGGTGGTGGTGTATTGCAAGGTGCAATAGTGGTGGTGGTTTGCTACTGAAACTGGTAGCGGTTGTGACAATTCAACAATAATGGTATTTTGTTTTTGGCAGTGGGTTGAAGTTCTTGTTTCCATGGTGATTAGTTGGCGAGGTATCAGGCATTGGGTGCCCTCAGTTGGCATTTTGACACAGTTGCAGTGACAGTGGTGTCTTGGGCAACTTTTTGTTGTGTCCATGATGGAATTTTATGGCTGCGCACAAGACATGATTAGATGAATTTTTGGCTGTCTTGAAAAGCTGATATAGAAAAAAATCCTTGCCCAGTCCTAGTCCTATTTTGACAATTTTCTGTCTTTCGCTGTTCTGTCCCAATAGTTGTCCTTGTTATCTCCCAGGCAGCCTGTCCATCTAAGAAATTCGGGAATTTTTATAACTTTTTTGTTTTGAATGAGAAATCTATTTCAAATTTCCATAATATTACTATAATAGCAAAATCTTATTATAGTAACAATGACTAATTTCAATTTTCTTTAAATAATGCAATCATAAAACAAACAAGAGTGATTCAGAAGTACTATCATCTATCTTTTGTACAGTAATTTTTAAAAGAAAAAGGAAGAATTATGAAGGATAAAAAATTGAATTGAAAGAACATGGTATATGATACTATGGATGGTGTTAAAATATTTTGCGGAAACTCTTAAGCTTGCATTCTTGATAATCAAAATAAGGGGCCTATATATAGGCAACCTAAAACAAACTCGATAGACTCAAATCTAAATAATGTAATCTAATGAATATGACCAAATTTAAATCTAAATCTAACAAATCTAAAACTAAATATCTAAAATATGTCAACAACATTATAAGTCAGCTATTATTTGACACTCCCCCTCAAGCTGAGGAATAGATGTCTTCCATTCCCAGCTTGGATACAAGATCATGGAAACTCGAACTGTTCAGCCCCTTTGTTAGAACATCGGCTAATTGTCTCTCTGATGAAACATAGGACATACATACTAACCCTTCCTCCAATTTTTCTTTAATGAAATGTCTATGAATTTCAATATGCTTTGTTCTATCATGTTGTATAGGATTATGAGCTATATTAATAGCCGACTTATTGTCACAGTAAAGCTTCATAGGACCCTCCCATTTGACTCTCAAATCATCCAAAATGATCCTCATCCAAAGTAATTCGCATAATCCTTGAGCAATTGCCCTAAATTCTGATTCTGCTGATGACCTTGCCACTACATTCTGCTTCTTGCTCCTCCATGTCACTAGGTTACCTCCAAGAAAAGTACAATACCCTGCAGTTGATCTTCTATCCACTAGGGAGCCAACATAGTCAGCATCGGTGTAGGCTTCCAAAGTAAGAGTGTCATTCCTTTTGAACAAGATTCCTTTCCCTGGATTGCCTTTCAAGTAGTGCAGTACCCTGTAAGCAGCTTGAAGATGAAGTTCTCTTGGATCATGCATGAATTGGCTGATCAAACTTACAGAATATGCTATGTCTGGTCGAGTGTGAGCAAGGTATATAAGTCTGCCAACCAACCTCTGGTACATTCTTTTATCCACAGTTGGTTCTTCTTTAGCTTCTCCCAATTTATAGTTTGGATCTATTGGAGTAGAAATTGGCTTACACCCAATCTTCCCTGTTTCTGCCAATAAATCAAGCACGTACTTTTGTTGAGATATGAAGATCCCTTGTCTAGAATATGCCACCTCAATACCAAGGAAATACTTCAATTTCCCTAGTTTTTTTATTTCAAATTCTTTCATTAGTCTCAGCTTTAATTCATGCTTCTCTTTCTCATCATTTCCAGTCATTATGATGTCGTCCACATAGACTAAAAGAGCAGTCACTCTCCCTACAGCTGAATGCTTAATGAAAAGCGTGTGGTCACCTTGGCTTTGTTTGTACCCAAATTCTTTCATGACTTTTGCAAATCTGCCAAACCATGCTCTAGGAGATTGTTTTAACCCATAAAGGGCTTTTTTTCAGTTTGCACACCTTGTTACCAGTGTCCCCTTCAAATCCTGGTGGAATGTTCATGTTTATTTCCTCATTTAAGTCACCATGGAGGAATGCGTTCTTAACATCATATTGTAGCATTTGCCAATTAAAGTGAGCAGCCAATGATAACAAAATTCTTACTATGTTCATTTTTGCAACTGGAGCAAATGTTTCTTGATAATCCACCCCATAAGTTTGAGTGTATCCTTTGGCTACTAACCTTGCTTTATATCTTTCAAAGGATCCATCAGCCTTGTATTTCAATGTAAAAATCCATTTGCAATCAACAATGTTTTTTCCCTTTGGTTTATCAACGATCTCCTATGTTTTATTCTTCTCTAATGCATTCATCTCTTCTCTCATAGCATCTCTCCATTCCCTTTTTGTCAATGCCTCAGACACATTATGAAGGATGGCAATGGTGTTCAAATTCATAATGAATCCCTTTTGGGCTGGCGATAGACGCTTAAAAGAGACATAGTGAGATATAAAATAGAGTGGTCGTTTAGTGCATTCTCTGGTTTCTTTTCTAACAGCAATGTGAAGATCCAGAACAATAGTTGAATCAGTGGACTGTTCAACAGATTGTGTGTGTAAATGTAAAGGTGGATCTGATCTTACCGTGATTTCTTTCTCAGAATTTGGATTGGATTCTTGGACTTGTGTCAGTTCAGGAACGGTCTTTCTCCTTGAATACGCCTGAGGAAACTTTGGAAAATTGTGAGTGATGCTGGTTGGAGAAAGAGATGATATGGGTTCAGTGACAGGATCGGGTGACTCGGATGTGACTGGTTTAGAGGACTTAGGTTCAACCGGAACATGAGGAGGGTTTTGTTATGAGTGACTGAGGGGTGGCACATGCGGAAGGTCAAGGGTTTTAAGTGGTTAAAAAAACTCACAAGTACTATCTTCCATCATTGAAATCTCCCCCTGAAGAGAGGACTTGAAAAAAGGTCTATTTTATGTGAAAGTGACATCCGCAGAAATGTAAAATTGTTTGGTCAAGGGGTTGTAACATTTGTATCCCTTTTGAGTTGATGAGTAACCGAGGAAAACACATTTGATGGTTCTAGGGTCTAGCTTCCCCCTATGTTGTTTGTGGACATGAACAAAGGCGGTACACCCAAATACCCTAGGAGTGAGGCAATTTGAGGTTCTGAAGTGAGGGTAAAAGCTATGATGGGCCTCTATGGGGCTTTTGTTTTTTAACACATGGGAGGGAAGTCTATTTATCATATATGTGGCAGTAAGAACGGCTTCTCCCCAATAGGACTTAGGAACATTCCCTTGAAACAGTAAGGCTCGGGTGGTGTTGAGTAAATGCCTATTCTTTCTTTCAGCTACCCCATTTTGTTGGGGTGTCTCTACACATGATGAATCATGGACAATCCCCTGTGATTGAAAGTAAAGTGACAGAATCTGATTGAAATAATCTCTAGCATTGTCTGTCCTAAAGCTTTTTATTTTGACCCCAAATTGATTTTGAACCATTCAATGAAAATTAGGTATAATAGTGCTAACATCAGATTTTTGTTTAAGAAGAAAGAGCCATGTGACCCGAGTGTAATCATCAATTAAGGACACAAACCAACGAGCCTCAGAAACATTAGGTATAGTGGAAGACCCCATATGTCACTATGAATCACTTGAAAAGGATGAGAACTTCTCTTATTGCTAATAGGAAAAGATGCACAGATATGTTTTGCCAATTCACAGATGTCACAATGAAATTCAGAAATATCTAATCCTTGGAACAAATGAGGAAACATTATTTTTAAAATCCTAAAAGAAGGATGACCCAGACGTAGGTGATATAGCCAAATGGCATCTTTATTCGAGGAACTAAGGAAAGAAGAAGGCAAGTTACTCTTAGGTTTTTTAGATGGTTCAAGGTGGTAAAGACCGTTCCTTTCCTTAGCAAGTCCAATCCTCCTCCCCGAGTCCTGGTCCTGAAAAACACAATAAAAGAGCAAAAAACAGTATAGCATTTAAGATCATGAGTCAACTTTTGAATGAAAATAAGGCTTGTTGACAGTTTGGGTACATGGAGGACATTTTTAAGGATAAGGCTAGGTGTGATATGTATATCTCCAATCCCTGCAACAGTGGCTAAGGAACCATTGGCCACAACAATTTTTCTATTACTTAGACATAGGGTATAGGTGTGGAAGAGTTGAGATGTGGGGGTCACACCGGAGTCCATGATCCAAGAGTTGGTACATAATTTGTCTAAGACATTCGTGCACACAGATTTACCTGAAAGAGCCATTGAACATGTTCCAAAAGGCTTCTCAAGATTCCCCAACAATCTTCTCAATCACTCAATTTCTTCACTATTGAACCCCCCTAATGCTGGATTTTCCTCAATATTGGGCTGCTCTGCCATATGCGCTTGAGGCCTTTGCTGCTGCCTCCCACGGTAGCCCCACTCTCGGCTTGGAGGTTTGCCATTCAGCTTCCAACACTTCTCCCTTGTATGCCTGGGTTTCTTGCAATAAGTACACCAAAGATTGTCTTTATTTTCTTTCCCTTGGTTATCTCTACCAAATGTTTAGGCATATCATTCTTTCCCTTGGAGATGGTTTCACACATGACTTAGTGAAGAATAAAAAGTCACAACAATTAAGGCCAGAACAAAACACAACGATGAAGGCTGCTTGAAGAAGACTACAAAAACCTAGAAAAATTCCTTGAGCTCTGATACCATGTTAAAATATTTTGCGGAAACTCTAAAGCTTGCATTCTTGATAATCAAAATAAGGGGCCTATATATAGGCAACCTAAAACAAACTCGATAGACTCAAATTTAAATAATGTAATATAATGGATATGACCAAATCTAAATCTAAATCTAACAAATCTAAAACTAAATATCTAAAATATCTCAACAACATTATAACTCAGCTTTTTTTTGACAGATGGAAAAAATAATAACAATTACTTCAGATTATTTATATTTTTAGACGATCTTATCCTAGCCCTATCCTGATTCTCTATTAGTCCCGTACTAGCATTGACCCGTGTATTTTGGGATGTCCTTGTTTCCAATAAAAACATACCCATTTTCCATATAAAATATTACATTCGACAACCATTTTATCTAAAAAAAACAACAAAAGCTAAACTATGAACTATTTCAGTAATACTTCATTACTACTTGGAAAAATGTTTTTTTTTTTCAAACAAACAAACTACAATTGTGAGATATAATCCATGACTGAATGATCACAACTTTATTCACCCTTCGATTAAAAAATAGCAGAAAGTGAACATTGTTTCCACATTAGAAAAGGATATAGAGCACTCTGTATTTCATTTACTCTGCTGCCTTAGCATAGAGGAAATGCTTAAGAGGATTGTTTTAGGCACCCTTTGACAAAGTACATCAGCCTTAACATTGATAGGTAGACCATCAAATTGCAAATATAACTATACTAAACTACAACTGTAATACTCTGAGTTTCAAAATTTTGAAGATACATAGATTCCCAAATTTGACACTGTTTAGTTTTTTAAAATATTTTGAAAAATTAGTATGGTTATGTCGATTACCTGTATGGTTGCCTTTAACATCAGGTTAGGGAGCTGAAGCCACCACTTGACCTGATGGGGCAATGATAATCTGCCTTGGGCCAACTAGAGTGTCACAACTACCAACTATGCATCGCTTCCCCACACAATGAGACATATCTTTTAATTGTTCACGTTATTGATAATCTGGAAGGGCATTCTTAAAATTTTTTGATATGTGCCGCATGTTTTGTTTCTTGATTGTATCTGGGAAATGAATGAAATTATGCAAGCTTATATATAGAGTTAAAATATGGAACTTTTTCCAGGAATACATTCCAGGAAGGGCATTCTTAAAATTTGTTGATATGTGCCGCATGTTTTGTTTCTTGATTGTATCTGGGAAATGAATGACATTATGCAAGCTTACATCTCCATAGAGTTTAAGTATGAAACCCTTTCCAGGAATACATTCAAGATGGTATTGACTGGACAAAAGTTGACTTTGAAGATAACCAAGATTGTCTGAATCTCTTTGAGAAGGTACAAACTTTGACTTTGATGTCATTTCAAGCACCCAATTATCTTTCTGTGCTTTTACTGAATAAGTTGCTAAATATTTAGCATCCAATCCACTCTTTCATTATCATTGAGGTTGTATTAATTGTGCCTTGAGGATTTGATTTTACATTTCTTTGAATGTGTCTGTATTGTTCTATTTATGTTACTTTGAGAACAAAATGTTAATTGTATATCTATAAATATTTCCGAGTTCCGACTATTTTTTTATCATGTTAAGGATTGTTCATCTTGTGACGCTTGTTTCCAAAATTGCCCTTCTCTAATAAGCTTCATCTGTTCTGTTCTTTTTTTTTTTTTTTTTTTTTAACCTAAACAAAAGATTGCATCAGTTGCACACATATTTTACAGAAGTTGCTCTCTCTCTCCCCCTTGCTTCAACTATGCATAAATTGTTTATTTAAAGTATATGGTTAATTTGTTTGCATTGCATGCTTATTGGTTCTGTAATGAGAACGTCCCTGATGAGTACCTACAATTAGTTTGAATCTTCATGGATTAATAATTTATTTATTTATTATTATTATTATTATTATTATTATTTTGTTTTTAAACAATAGATATATTAGAAAGTTTGGACAAACTTGATGACAATTACATAATAGACCCGGAATGCGTTTGCTTTTCATTGTCCGTAATGGTAGTCTTGACTTAATGTATGATGTAATCATTTATCTTGCCATTTGATTCAAACACAGTTATTTTTGTTTTGTGAAGAAACCATTAGGTTTACAATCCTTGCTAGATGAGGAGTCAACCTTTCCAAATGGCACGGATTTGAGCTTTGCCAATAAGCTTATGCAACATCTATATTCTAATCCCTGTTTCCGAGGGGAAAGGAGGGAAGCTTTCACTGTACGCCATTATGCTGGAGAGGTATTCGCTTCTTTAGCTGACTAAATACTTGAAATATTAAGTTCTGCTTTTGCCACCAGCCCCTGCCTCTCCATTAACCTAAGGAGAGTTAAAGAAATCTCAAGAAATCACTATCTTTGAAGAATATAAACTTCTTGATAACTCTTGCGATTTATATCAACTGCACCAATCGAATGTTAACTCTTGTTTAATTCTAAAATCTTCTCATTAATATGTAGTTAATCTGTCCTGGTATTATCTTAAAAGCAACACCATGATTTATGATTTGTTACTTTGTTATTTGCTTCAGTTCCAGTTGATATGATTTCATTTCAAACATTTTTCTTCTTCGAGTCTTTATAACGTTGTAACTGTTTCCAGGTTACTTATGATACTACTGGTTTTCTTGAGAAGAATCGAGATTTACTTTATTTGGATTCCATTAAGCTTCTTTCATCTTGCACATGCCACCTGCCACGGTCTTTTGCATCCACTATGCTTACACAACCTGGGAAGCCTGTAGTTGGCGCATTGTATAAATCTGGAGGGGCAGAATCACAAAAATTAAGTGTCATGACAAAATTCAAGGTGAGTGCATTTTAGCGACTAGTTTTATTCGAATGTGTGCTGGATGAATATAAGATATGTTGTGGAATGTTGCCATGGCCTGAGATGTCAGCAGGAATTGCTGTGACAAGGTATGCCATAGTGGCACAATAGATGCTACTCTGTGCGTCCTTTTAGAGGCTTGTCTTCATTTTTTTTTTCCTATTATTTAAATGCTAACGAATGCCCTAAACACATTCATATATACCTAAGTTCTGCCTCATTCCTCCTAATATTGAGTTTTCTGGAGCTACGGAAAGTTGATCTAGGATAACTATTAGCCTCTGGACATGGTCTTTAGTTGCAGCTTTCTTTCTCATCTTTGGGTTGAATGTATTGATGTTTGCTTTGAATTTTTGAAAGCATATACATGTTATTAATGTTGATCTAAATGTATTGTTAGATATTAGATAGAGTTAACTAGTACTCGATATCAATTAGTGTCTATTCATTTTGTCTTCCACATCCCATGTGTCTTCGTCATCTCTTTATCTCACCTTCTATTATCTATATATATACATGTAATAGTAATGCAAATAATCAATTCAGCTGGAATACAATTCATTCTCTCCCAAATTTCTACATGGTATCAAACAGATGACTATGTTTCAACTAGAGTACCTAAGGGATATAATTTTTTAAATCAGTCCGTCCCCATTGTCTCAATCAAGAAATTGACCACACACTCTGGCCTAGAGAGCTTCGGTGTCCATTCTGATGTTGCTGGTGTCACTGAAATGCTACTCATGTTCTGGACGTCACTGTTAACTCTAACCAAATGTTAATTGGTTGCCTCATTCTTCCATTCTAAGTTCAAATTTGGTGTACTTTTACAACTCAATTGATTAATATCTTCACTATTTAATCTCCATTCCTCCCATTTCTTCAAATCCCTGTTACTTCTCTTCCTGTACAAGGATGTTGACGCATGGCTTTTGTTAACAGTTCTGGATTAGGACAATTTTATCTGGTCATAAACCTATCTTTTGCCATGGGTTCCGATGATCAAAGAAATGCTTCCTAAGAAACAAAATAAAGGATAAGAAAAATCAAACGATATCTATCGTTTGCTTAAGAACAATCAAGCGGTACCAACCGTTTGTCTAATGCCTGACGACTACTTTATTTCGAAAATTCCAAAATGAAAGTCTCAAACCTTAGGTACTCCTTAAATACAATGCCTAAACCCTACATACTAAAAATAAAATAAGTCCATCCAATAACTAAAGGGCAAGGGCAACTCAAAATATAATATATTAATAGAAAAACAAGTAAAATATAAACCCGTGAATAACAGGCCTAAGTCCATCCCCGTTGTCAATACACAAGCATCTGCCGAGACTAGCTTTCTCTTAAATTTTAACTTCATACTCTTTTTTGATTTTTCTTTCTATCACTTCCTCACAGCCATCGACTCAACAGCCACAACAATGTCACTCCCACCCCAGGAGATTACACAAAGTCAAATTATTCAATGTAATCAATCTAACCAAACAATTTGTCATTTTTCTGTCTCCTTAGGCCAACCTTGGATATTAGAGTGTGTTTGGTACGGGGAGTTGACAGCAGTTTGTTTGAATAAGAGAAATTGAAGTTAGAGAAATAAGTTATTTTCATTTTTCTGATTTTATTTGTCTCCCCTATCCAGAGAAATGAATATTAAGTATTATTTTTTAAAAATTTTTATCCTTTTTTGTACTATTTAATTTTAAAATTATATTATTCAAATTTTACAAAATCACATTAAATTTATTATTCAAGTTTTCAATTTTTATGGTTTTTTAAAACATAGTACTAAAATATAAACTTACAAAATATTGTATATAATTTATAATTTTTTTTTAAATCACCAAAAATATTTATTCATGAATTCTCACTCGTTAAGTCTCTCTTTTGTCCGATTAATCATTTATTTTTGTTTGATCAATTCAGATAGCTGTATTTTTTTTTTTACATTTCTCAACTGAATTTTTTATTTTACCATAACCAATGCCCAATACCACCCAGTCCACTTCACCATCGAACCGGGCTCTGATACCACTGTTGGGACTGGGCCAACTCTCCACTGGTATGAAGCCTTTTGGAGGAAGTCCCAAAACAAATCTGTGCGGGTTCAACTCAAAGTGAACAGTATCATACTACTGTTAAGTTGGTCCAGTCCGAACACCTTTCATTTGCCCCATTGTCATAATAGTCGTCTTACAATTGGTAATGGATCATCCACTTCCATTCAAGGAGTGGTGATTTCCTCATTTCTTCTTCTCTCATCCTTCCATCAATGTTATTTGTCCCTAAATTTTGATTCAATCTCATATATGTGAATAAACTAAGGTGTCAACTAAATTGTTGTGTCCTTCGTACTTGGATTTTTGTCCAAATTTTGAAGACTCAAACGATGATTAGAGTAGGCCATAAGTCAAATGGAATGTTTAACTTAGGTAATTTACAATTCTCATGTGTTCATTTTCCTTTTTCTCTCTCTTCTTGTTGAGCATTGTGGTCGTAGTTACTCACTACTCAATAATCTTAAGATGATGTTGTCATGTTGCACATTCCAAGTCAAGTCTCTACCTTGAATTAACAATTGTATCAAACTTGCAAGCATCATTATACTTCTCTCTCCAGAAACCCATAAAAGGGATGCCAAACCATTTATGCATGTCACACACACATTTGGGGGTCCAATTGCTTTAAGTTTAAGTTGGAGTTTCAATACTTTCTTCATTGTGTTGTTGATTTCTCTTAGATAGCCTAACTATATTATATGAGGTCGGGCAATCTTAAGGTTTATGTTAGACGAGGCAAGAAATACTAAGTTCACTTATTGTTGATTGTGGCACAAAGTTGATGACTCTAGAATGGGCTTTTGTTTTATTTTTTTTAATTTATTTTTTAGTCCTTTATTTATTTAATGTTTCTTTGTGTCAATAATGTAAATGAGCCCATATATATAAGGGTATATCTAATACTCTATAATCTATCAATTGGTCCGACTTTCCGAATCACTTTCTAATGGAATAATGCCTACCACCATCCGAGTAGAACGTTTAGATGACTTGGAAGAATGGCTGGAATTTTGATGGAAGAGAGGACTCAAATCCGTCGTGAAATCACAAAGAAATTTGAAACCTATGGAGAGCAAACTGTTGTATTGATGACTCAACCGCGACTATAGAATCTATGGCCCCAACACCAACATTGCACCACATCTCTATTTAACTAAAGGTGCGGGCGACAAAGAAGCGGGTATGCTCTTTTGCTTCCTGATATAAAGTTACTGCCTTTTGATGGCTCATAACCAATAAGCTATAGTTTGACCTTCATCAAGTGAGTGGAGAACTTAAGGTAGCCATGGCACGGATCTCCATGGAAGACGTAGCCTTACATTGGTCTAGATAGCATTGTATTCACCATCCTGAGGCTACTTGGTTGAAATTTTCCCAAGCCCTAACAACTTGATTTGATGATTGATTTGTGGGAAGCCTTTATGAGCATGTTTGGCCAAAATTCAGAAACATAAATCACTTGATCGGTGCATCAATGTATTTATGTAGCTAGCAATGCAAGTTCCAAGACCATCTGATGAGCATTATGGGAGTTACTTTATAGGAGGTTACAACAGGATGTCGGGAATGTTTTAGAACAATGGAACCTAATAACTTGGATACTACAATCTAGGTAAGCTGTAGCATCGAGTGGAAGTTCAACGTGTCAGCTTGACGTCCAAATTTACTGGATCATCGAGAGGAGTGAGCTTTCAATCTTGGGGTAAGGCGCAGATGGCGGCGCGAGGAAGTTTAGCAAGCTATGGAAGTGAAGTTGACAAGTTAGGAATGGGAAATAATGTTGCAGGTAGCCATGCCGTTACCTCAGAGCTATCATCGCAGCGAGCTCCTTTTTGGATGCTAAGCCGTGTAGAATACCAAGAGTGTCAATCAAAGAAGCTTTGCTACCATTGCAAAGAACTTGTATGCACTTGCATAAGTGCTTTAAGTAAATCTTTTCAGGCGTGCATGGTGGATCCAGATACCGATTGAGTGGCCAAATTCAAAGAGATACATAAGCTTAAAGGTTGAGAAGAAGACAAGGAAGAGATACGTGGACTTGAATAACTAGAGCATGTCGAAGATAGGCAAGTGGAACTTCTCCTATTTGCGATGGTGGGTTTTACCGGCCTGCAGATACAACTCTGCTTAACGCTAGGTGGTCGAGAAGTTACCATTTTTATTGATCGTTGTTTCAGTTACGATTTGTTTGGTCTGCCTTAGTATGAGAGTTTAGGGCTAACGTGGGACTAACTGGAGCTTTCAACTTGGTACTAACTCGAGCTTTCAATGTGGTACTCGAGAATGGTTAGAGGCTTAGCAATGATGGGTTTTTTTGTGGGTTAATCCTTGATCTAAGAACATAAATGGTGAAGATAGATTACTATATGTTTCCCCTAAAAGGCGTTAGATTTACTTTAGGGGTGGCATGGCTTTGCACCTCGGAGAAAGAAACTTAGCTACTTGTCCAAAGCTACGAAGCCTGATACCGTATAATTTTATTAATCTTAACTCTAAGGAGTACAATGTAGAATATATATCTACAACATACATGGGCTTATACTAATCCTACTAATGGGTTAGCTATTAAATTACTAATGGGCCCAACTAAACACTAAACACATATCATAAAAGATTTTCTTACATTTCCTTTTAAGTTCGAGCATATAGATCATATGTTCCAAGCTTACAAATAAACTCAGTTCGAGATCCTCAGAGAGCCTTCGCTAGGATGTCAACAAGTGGGTCACTTGATGAAACACGATCAGGGACTGTACACTTCAATAATACCTTCTCTCAAACAAAATGAAAATCAATTTCAATGTGTTTCGTCCATTCATGAAATACTGGATTAGAGGCAATATGGAGCACAACTTGATTATCCCACAACGGCAACTTCAATACTTAACAAAACTTAAGCTCATGGAATGTTTGCTTAATCCATGTCAGTTCGCAAGTAGTTGAGACCATGGCGCGATACTCCTCTTTAGCGCTAGACCGAACAACGACATTTTGTTTCCTACTTTTCCACGACCCAAGTTTACCTCCAACAAAGACACTATAGGTAGATAGTCTATCAGTTGGAGATCCTGCCCAATCAACATGTGAATATCCAATAATCTCAGTATAATTATGATTGGTATACAACGATATTTTCTTTGTGAACTTTTAACTGCATCCCAATGAAATGGAGATTAAAGAAATTGACTCACAACGCTAACTAGGAATGAGATATTGAGTCGAGTGATCGTTAAGTAATTAAGCTTACCAACCAATCTTCTATAGCGTCTAGGTTTAGTTAAGGCCTCCCTTGTCCTAGAAGAAGCTTTAAATTAAGATCCATCGGAGAATCCACTGGCTTACAATCAATCATACCTGTCTTAGATAATATATCTAGAACATACTTTTATTCTCACAATAAAATACCTCTCCTACATTGAGCCACCACCTCAGTTCTCAAAAAATATTTAAGCGGTCCCAAGTCTTTTGTTTGAATTGTGTAAATGTTGCTTCAACTTTGCTAATTTCATTTAGATCGCCGCCAATAATGACAATATCATCTACATAAACAACCAAGTATATGTACTTCCCATCCAATGCATTTGTAGAAAACTGTATGATCTAAGTCACTCTGTATCATCTCAAACTCTTGTATGACATGGCTGAAACTCCCAAACCAAGCTCGGGGTGATTGTTTTAACCCATAGATAGAGAACTACAAAGCCAACACACAAGAGTGGACTCCCCTCCCCCTGAGCAACAAATTCTAAGTTCTATTAGCTTGCAGAGCACTCATCTCATCCACCATAGCCTGACGCCGCCTTGGATAAGCCAACGCCACACGTAATGTAGTAGGAATTGACATAGATTCTAAGATAGACACTATAGCACAATATGAAGGAGACAAATGATGATAACTGAGAAAGTGGTAAACGGGATAAGGATTATGTGTAGAAAGATTACCTTAACACAGAACCATAGGAACAAAAACATCAGGGGGTACCGAATGTAAGTTGTGAGTTAGGTTAGGAAAGTTGAATTGAGTTTTTATTTATGCGTGGTACTTTTTAAAACTAGATAACAACTCAGACTGGTGTTTCATCAAATAAAGCCAAGTAAATCAAGAATAATCATCAATAAATGTAACAAAGTATTGAAACCCAACAATAGAAGGTGTATGACAAGGCCCCCAAATATCTGAAAGAACTAAAGCAAAAGGCTCAGACGCTCTATTATTGATTTAGGAACGCTCACAAGAGACTGTTTCCTAAGCTCACATAACTCACAATGCAAAGATGACAACTGTGACAAATGTGGGACCGGTAGACGAAGTTTGGACAATCTGGGATCACCTAACCACTGATGAAGCAACTTTGGAGAAGTAGTGGCAATAGTAGTGAGAGGATCTGGGGAAGCTGGACTAGAAAGAATGGTAAGGTGATAAAACCCATGTGACTCACATCCAGTACCAATCGTCTATCCCGTACTACGGTCCTGGATAGTAAAAGAATCACCCTTGAATATGACAGAACAATTCAAAGACTTACTAACGGACATAATGCTAAAAGGGCACTTAGGAATATAAAGAACAAAATCAAGAGATAAACGTGGCAAAGGATGAGCTGTACCAATGGCTTGGGTAGACACTTTAGTACTATTCGCTAATGTAATAGAAGGTAAAAATGAGAGTTTTTAGAGATAAAGAATAAACATAGATTACTAGACACATGATCAGAAGCACCGGAGTCAAGAACCGAAAGACGAAGAGGACTGAGAATACCAATGATAGACATGGATTCACTTGATTAAGCTTGAAACTGAAGATATTCTTCATAATTTGCGCCGGTCAAAGTAATATAGTCGGACGCACTAGCAACATTGGTATGTGATTGACGACGATTCAGCTTAAGCATTTTTCTTTAGTGTAATCCAAATGATGACGATAACTGCAGTGAGGCTGATTTCATGATTCATTCCACTATTTGCTCCACGGGATGTCCTCGACATGGGTTTAGGAGAGAGGGATGGTTCAGACACAAGCACAGATTGATCATGAGATGCCATGGATTCTGAAGCTGTGGGAGACACTCGAAGCAATCTAGAGAAGACATCATTAAATGTAGGAACAATAGATCTTGAAAGAATTTAGTCCTGAACAAAACTCATTTATGGACTGAGTCCAATGAGTGCACAAACCATATAAAAGGTGCTGCTCTGTTCAAGATCTTTAGGAGCATTAGTTGTAAGTGGCAAGATTATACTCTGCCTGAATGAATGCTAACCTCCCCAAGTACTCAGACATTGTAAGACCTTGTTGTTTGAGGTCTACAAGGGAATAAACAACCAAATACAACTGTATTAAAGTCGTTGGTGAACAAAAGTGCATCTTGTTTCCACAACTCATAGCAGCTGGTGAAATTTGTGAAAATCGGATGCAGGAACACATCAATAGATTGCCAGAGTAGGTGAGTAGAAGTGCATCTGCCCTCTCCCGTGTATCTTTCTTGTCATCAGGAATGCTCTCAACTTCCGTGATAAGATCTTCCGAAAATCCCTGTCCAATACATCACATGTGTACAACTTTTGACCAAAGGCCATAATTGGATCCACCAAGTTGGTTAACCGTAGTTATTGTAGGAGTAGCGAACAAAGTGCCGAAAAAAGAGCTTGAACTAGCCATTTTTGGAGTGAAGGAAGCCCTATAAACACCCCCAGATTAATTTCACAAACAGCAAACAAATAGGACAAAAAAGAGACTGCCGATTAGAGTCAGAGGTTGATAAGGGCGAGAAGAAAGTGAAACAAGCAAGACCCCAAAAGATAACAAACCAGCGTCAATTCTCAAAACCGGTGGAGAGCTGAGAGAGGATCCGAGCGCGACGGTGATTGAAAACCCCAAGTTCTGATCGATTTTAAGGTCAATCGTGAGGACGAGCCATGGAGACTATGATGAAATCGTGGAGAAGGGTTAGGGGCTCTGATTCCATGATAGCGCATAATTTTATTAATCTTTTGTCAGTCTTAGCTCTAAGGAGTACAAGGTAGACTATATACAACATACACGGGCCTATACTAATCCTACTAATGGGCTGGCATATTTATGGCATCACCTTGAACAACCTATGGGGACGTTGTAATAAAAAATTACCAATATCTAAAAAAATCACTAGGACAAAATCTATTATATAAATATCATTGTCATCTCCTATTAAAAATGCATATGGGAAAGGTCATAAGATCAAAGGTTACTTTAGGTTACTATATGCTTTTTGGTGGAATCCTCATATTTTTGTTTAGTTTGAAATAGATTGTTGCCGGTTCTTATGTAGAACCTGTATATCAAGCAATGACACGTGCAACATTTCATTTAATTTGGTTAAAGAATCTTTTTATTGAAATTGGCTTTCAGAATCCATTTCTCATGGAACTAATGTGTGAGAGTCAAGCACTGATACATATTGTTTCCAATCCATTCTTTCATGAAATAACTAAGCATGTTGAAGTGGAATGTTATTTTGTACATGAGAACCTCTCAGAAAATCTCATTCAAGTTCCTAGTCCAAAAATCAACTTGCTGATTTATTCATAAAGGCATCGGAGGATCACAAATATGGTACATTTTAACAAGCTTGGAGCTTATGATATGTATGCTCCAGCATGAGGATGAGGACTAGGTATTAAATTTTATTAGAGATTAATTAGTGTTTGTTTCTTCTGCTTTCTCTATACCTGTGTGTCTTCTTCATTGCTTCCAATCTTTATCTCGCCTTTGATTGTCTATGGATACTATTGTAATTGTAGTGTAAATAAAGAAAGTGGAATACAATTCATTCTCTCCCAATTTATACAGACACGCACACACACACACACATATACATATATATAGCTTACTAACTAAAGCTTTAGACTGTGCAGTGCTATGCTTGCCCATATGAAATTGACTATGATTGTAAATACAAGGGACTGCTGCTTGCCTTTATGAATTGTATTAAATCTTGAACATTAGTGCATGTAACCTTTCTTTATGAATTGTGGTTATGCCATCTGAGACTTTTTATTGTTCTCTTGATCTCATGTTGTGTATAGTGTGTCTGGTTAAGCATGTCGACTCAAATTGTCTCACTAGAGATAAAGCAGTAAATATACTTTCATATTAAAGTTGCTTCAGGTGCAGAAATTATGTTGATATGTTGGACTAAAGTGTTGTGATTATGTTGGTTGACTTCCGTATGTGGATAAATAAATATATGATGCGTATCCGTTTAAGCTTAAGCTTTTAGGTGAGACGGTCATTTAAAACATCTAACAGATTACATAGCAGGTTGCCAGGGGAACTTTTATACATAATATGATTGCATAACATTTGTGAATTGTGATATAGGAATAATGATCATCTGTATTAGTACAGATCAGGATTATTCTGCCTTTTATCATCCATGTGTTTTTATTAATAGTTTGAAAGTAAACTATTGTGGTCTGCTGGAATATACAAAAAACAATGGATTTCAGATTTCATATATGGGTGTATGCGGTACGTTGTGCATTGAATGATGAGGCTGTGAATCACTTAAAATCTGCTTTTTTATTAGGCTAATTCAGACTTGATACCTGTGTCCATAGTTGAATGTCTCTTCATTCTCTATGCCTTAAATAGGTTTTTGGATTGTAATTTTATTGAGTTTGTAGTTTATGTCTCTTACTAATATTACTGGTGCCAGGGCCAACTCTTCCAACTGCTGAAACATCTTGAGAACACTACACCACATTTCATTCGTTGTATAAAGCCAAATAACTCCCAATCCCCTGGTAGCTTTGATCAGGGACTCATATTGCAACAGCTCAGGTGTTGTGGAGTCTTAGAAGTTTTGAGAATATCAAGATGTGGTTTTCCCACCAAAATGTCACATCAAAAGTTTGCTAGAAGGTGAAGAAAAAGTTATTCAACCAAAACAAAATGTGTTTGGTTTTAATCTTTTGTATGTGCATTTATATATTTCCATATTCTTTTCATTTGATCACGTCCTTCCTCAGGTATGGTTTTCTTCTAATGGCGCATGTTGCATCCAAGGACCCACTCAGTGTTTCGGTAGCAATTCTCAATCAGTTCAACATTCTACCAGAGATGTATCAAGTTGGATACACAAAATTGTTTTTTCGAACTGGACAGGTAAATACAAAGCTTCCTTGTTTGACCTTTCATCCAGCATTTGGGTAGTAGAGTTCTTTGGGGCATATGAATCAATAATAACTCATTCTGATAGATTTCTGAGGACTTTGATAAGGCATAATCTATACGTGACATGCTATATGCTTGTTTTATTTTATTTTTTAATCTAGCTAGAGTGTATGGGAATCTTTCTGCGAATACAATAAATGAGGTGAGGTCCAGCCCTGTGTTGGGTTCTCTTATATTTAGTGTTCTCTTTGATTAGGATTCATTTTGATATTCTACTTTGGTTATGATTAGTTTTGAAAATAAGTCCCTTATATCCTATTCAATCTTAAGGATGGTGATGGATATGGTATGGGGCCATGGGCATACTTGATGATACCAGACCCAAAGTCTCACTCTTTTAATTGGGGCCAGGTCTAATTATATAGGTATAAGCTAGGGTTTGCGTTGGGTAACAAATATTCCTTCCATTCGGGAAGTTTATATAAGTTTGGTTGGACACAGAGATAAAATTATAATATTAAAGTAGGGTATGCAAAAAGTAAAGTTGGGGCATTATTGGAAATTTATTAAGAAGTTGATAAAAAAGTGGTGGGGTAAATAGAAAAGGGTTGTGGAAAACTTGTTATTTGTTATAATAAAGATAATAAAATTAAGAGTTGATAAATTTTTTACCATCAATAGAGTGTGCATTAAGTTAAGCAAACATAATAAAATACCGACATAATGAGGGAGTAAAATTTTTGGATATGGCCTGGGGCTATGGTTCACTGTTGTGCTTGACCCGGATCCAACTTGGCCGAAATAAATTAAATAAATTAAATAACCCCTTTCTCTATAATTGTTGAAATGCATTAAATATATTCTAATTTTATGTTAAGATACTTGTAATCTTTCTTTTTTTAATTTTTATTGTGTATTTGGAATTTGATGCTTTTTAGGTAAAATAGTTATTGGAAATGATGTCTTGAATGAAAAGTTGGTGTTGGATATAATATCTGAAGGGAAATTGGTAGATTAGTTATAAGAAAAAAATTATAAAATTTGCAAACACCCTAAAATATTTTGGTGTTTGTTCTTATTAAAAAGGATTGGGAGCTCCATCTAAAAACCAATTTGTGATAAAAAGGAGTTTCCCTAGAGAGTTCTAACATTCATCCAATGTGGGAAACTCAAAACTCTCATCTCGAGATGATGTTGATCTCAAAACCAAGATCAATATCCTACCAAATACGGGCGACCATAGCTTTGATACCATATTAATGATGGTCTCACCAAAAAGCTTAAGCTTATCTGGGCAACAAAAATCTAATCTAAACCATAAATTAAATAGGAAAAACAGTTTTTTTCGTCCAGTACGTGATCCCCTTTATTATTTTATGACTATAATCAGACCTTGTATTAGATTAGTTCCACAAATAAAAAATTTGACAGAAATGGTCCCCAGCCGCCGGAGTTCTTAACATGGCACCTTTGTGACATACCGAAGATTTTGTGAATGACATGTTGAAAACATCGGAGAATTATTTTAGGATTATAACTAGATCTTGTATTGGAATAATCTCATAACTAAAAAGTTTTGGCATAAATAATCCTCAAATATTGTCCACGTGTCACCCACACAAACTCTGGCATTCTACGATAGCTACTTTGGCACATTTCTGCCAAATATTTTAGTTGTGGAACTAATCCAATATAGGGTTCAATTATGCTTCTAAAATGATAAGGGGCCATGTACGAGACTAAAAATAATTTTTCCAATTAAATATTTAAAATATTTCAATATCTCCCTCAAACTCAAGTGGTGACGAAAAAAATCTTTAGTTCACTAAAAGAGAAAAAATGACGTTAAAAAATTGTCTAATGTATTAGAGTAAGAAGGAGCCTTACTAACTAAGTTAGAATTGAAAACGAGACTCGCTCGTAACAGAGTTAGAGTAAAAAATGAGATTCTCAACGCATTCGGAAATAGGTTCTAAATGGAATCACTACAAACACTCAAAGACCGAACATAAAATTTATTGAAGCTGAAAACAAAATTGGCGAAAGATAAAATAGACGAGCAATTGTATGCAGATTTTATAATCAGAAAATAGATTTCAAGTTGAGGGTACCTAGAGAAGCGTGACCTAGAGTTGAGATAATGATACGACCCCAAATACTAAGTGTACTAATTCAGAAGGCTCAAATGTTCTATTGTTGATGCGCTTTGGAGAAGTAGTACAAAACTGTTTTCCAAACTCGCTTGACTCACGTGGTAACAAAGACAACAATGAAAAATTAGAAAAAATAAGTTTTAATTTTGTCAAATGGGGATGATGATCTAGTCATTGATGGAACAATTCAAGAGACACAACAAAGGCGGTTGCAAGAGTAGAAGATGGGGATAAGAAGACTCATTTAGATAATATAGCCCATGAAACTTATCCAATACCAATCGTCTACACTGTGATGCGGTCCTGAATAACAAAGGAACTACTGGACGGTAAGATAAAATAATCTAAATGTTTAGTAAGTTGACTTAACATATATGAGGTAGTTGACTTAACATATGAGGTTAAATGAACATTGTGGCCTGTGGGACATAAATAAGAAACTCAAAAGATAAATTAGTTGAGTAATTTTTGTTAGTGAATTTAACAGATGAAAAGTGAAAAACAAATAGAGATTACTAGACATATGGAGGTAGGTGACGAACTGAAGGATTGCATCATAATCGGCATGACTTATAGTACTGGATTTAGGTGACGAACATTCATTCAAGTTAGAAACAATTGGATTTTTCGTACGAGAAGGGTGTCCATGAAAGCTAAAGCAACACCCTTGAGTATGGTTATTCTTGTGACAATAGGTATACTTCAAGTAGGAATGTCTAGTACCAATTGACAGTAAAATGTCAGCCATAAACAAAAAAAGAAGAAAGAAAAAAATCTCAATACAAACTTAGTGGCAGTGCGTGTGATACATGTGCGGCAGCGGCGATGGACAGTGACACCATCTGACGGGTCGTGAACAGAGGAACGCACCAGTATGGCGCTTTTCTGAAGAGACCGTTGGAAAGGGGTCAAAAATCGACTGAAATGAAGGTGTCGTCTTCTGGAGGTGGCGTGTGAAGGTGAACATGGCAGCAGACGGAGGTTTTCTCTCCGTGGTTGAAAGGGCCGGTGTGTATGGAGTTGGATTATGCTGTTGGTCGGAGGAAAAGATGGCTCAAATTGGTACAATAGAAAATTTAGAGTTTTGGAGATTAGGATTTAAGGAAGCAGCAGCAGCTGAAAATATGAAGATTTACCTAAACCCTATCTGGTTTTGATACAACGTAGAGAAATAGGCGAAAATATTTTATTTCATTCTAAAGAAATAAAAGAAAAAATAATATTTTAAATATATATACAGATATTGATATATAATCTATATAAAAAACTAAATATAATATTTGGTTATAATAATCCTAACTAAATCATATCTACTAGAAGATATATATCTTAACAATATCCAACCCATATTTTTTATATAAAATATTACGTCTAATGAACTATTTCACCTCAAGAACATTAAATGTTTAGGATACTTTTCTTAATAACTTTTTGAAAATTTAAATTTTACATCAATTGGGAATGAGTACAAGTCCAGGTATAGGTGGGTCAATCTAGACTTTTTATGTTTATTTAGCCATCGCGTGTATCTCAAGTTGGGTCTGAATATTTTTAGATCCATATGGGTATAGAGTAGAACTATTTGTATTAGGGTCGGGTCTTGGATGCAGCCATACCCGACCCTTACAATTGATTCCTAGTTAATCTTGACACCTATAAATAAACTCGTAAGTGTTATAGTTATGATTATTCTTTCTTATGGAAGAAGCAATAAGAATTTAGATGCCTGAATATTTTTGGCCAAACCTTATGTATGGAAGAAGCAATAAGAATTTAGATCCCTGAATATTTTTGGCCAACCTTATTGTTTGGTAAATCCTTTTGAATTGGTTTTAACAATTTGGTCCGATCTTCCGAATTCACTCACCCATGCGACATGTGATGGTTGAGATGCGCCTCCAACATGGATAGGATTGAGGAGAATTTCAATGAAATCACAGGAAATGTTATGCAATTGGAAATGCAACTCAATAAAGTTCTGAAAGTCACTGTGGATGGCTTTGATAACACAGATGCAGCTCTTCCCATCGCAGCTGTTGCCGCCACCTCTCGAGGCTTAGCCATCCGGGGGAAGGCTTTCGTCGCCTCTGGGGTGCCTATGATTGCTGCTATTCCGTGGAAACCTGTTGCCAACGACCTCTACCCTGCTTTTCCAATGATGAGCCGTTGTGTTGGCTAGCCTGAGGTGACCAGCACCAACTTCACTCTTGTTTGGATGGGCAGAGGATCCAAATCGATGCGGTGGCAATGGAGAGCCCAACTATACATTAGGTTTGATGGTTCAAGCGAAATAGGCCAAATTACTCGTGCATTAGTTCACAAGTAGACCAAACTACAAGTTGATGAATGCAATGAAGGCGGGCTATTCTGGCATTAACTGGGCTACGAAAAACAGGATGTATCGTAGTATGTATATGCGTTCATTGACTTAGCTTATGAAATTCCAGAGTCATCGTATGGGTTATTGTTGGACTTATTCCTGATAAGCTGTAAGAGGGAATGTGCTGCCATGTCCAAGCATTGGAATCTCCACATTTGGATTCATCAATGAGGCTGGTTTGAAATTATGAAATGGTAGTTCTTCAGTAAGGACAGTAGTCAACCTATCGATCAGGAGGTTGGTCCTGTGTGGCTCTTGGACCGACTGGCAGTTGGCTGCCTTCACCCTGTCCCTCCTGCTTTACCGCCTTGGCAACTAACCCTCAGCTACATAGTTCGGAATGACCAAGATAGGCAGGCTATGACACCAACTAAAGCTTCCTATCTCAGGGTGATGACATTGGAGAAACAAGATTTGATTGTGTTATTGGTGTAAGGGTCCTTTTCATATTAACAAAAGCCTAGATCTGAGTTCATATGCAAGAAGCATGAATCGTATGATTTGTACTCTCCAGTTTGAGGGGAGTATTAGATTTGATTGTGTTATTGGTGGTAAGGGTCCTTTTCATATTAACAAAAGCCTAGATCTGAGTTCGTTTTCCTAGAAAGCTAGAAATTTCCTTATGTTCATAGTGATTTTTAGGAAGCAGAGATGATTCATAGCGAACATTGATAGTCTTGATTCATTTAGTATAATATGGATTCAAGTTGGCATAGTCATAACTGGTTTCATGGGTCTGAAGGACAAATTTTTGTGCCTTGTTATTACAAACATGGCACCACTATGGTGCCACACGTAGCACACATCATGAGCTTTTCCCCATGCGCTCATATTGAATTGGTTTATAGCCTTTGCACCTTGGATTATGTGCTCTCTCTTTATTGAACTTCTCTGCCCCCCCCCCTCCACACACACACGCGCGCGCATGCGCACTTCGAGGCTATAATGTACTTGGGAACTGCAAATCTTTCGAACCATTATCTGTCATGAATGGGCAGTTTGTGGTCTTGTGATTCATTGTAGATTGGGATTCTTGAAGATACAAGAAATCGAACTCTTTATGGTATTTTGCGTGTTCAAAGTTGCTTTAGAGGCCATCAAGCTCGGCTCTTTGTAAAAGAGAGAAAGAGAAGGATTGCATTCCTTCAGTCATGTATGTTTTTAGCTAATTTCTTCTTATTTTTAACTTTACAAGCTCTGTAAAATGTGAAACATTTGAATGCAGTTATCCGTGCTGAAAAAACTAGAAAAGAATATGCAATACTGTTAAGGGATCATAGAGCAGCAATAACTATACAAAAGCATGTCAAGGGCAGGGTTATCAGATATAGCTTCAAAAGACTAAGTGAGGCATCCACTATCCTGCAATCAGGTAAGAATCCGCTCTATCCCTAGCATGAACCTTTTTAGATTTCATATTCTCATGATATGCAAACCTTGGTATAGCTGTTTCTGGATGTGCTTTTCTTTGTGGATGACATTCTTAGCTCAGTTTACAGTCTATCTGCGAAGATATTTAATATATCTGTCTTTTCTTGAAAGCTTTGGTAAGATGTATAGACTTATGGATGTACTTGGAATTCTTAACTTTCTGTGATCATGCATTTCATTTAGAGGTTAGGATGCTACTATGAAGTTGTTTTCAACTTCCCCCTTTTCTTCACAGTTATTCGTGGCTGGTTGGTGAGAAAATGCTCAGGAGACATAGGATTGCGGCAATTTTTGCAAAAAACGGTAAGCCTCTTTCATTTTACTGTGGGAATTGTCATATTTACTTAACATACAGATGTTGCTAATTTGATAGGATCAGAATTCGTCAACCTAATGCCAATCATTAGTTAGTTTTTTCTGGATTGTTTCCTCTTCTAATAATTTCTTATCATAGATTTTAACTTGGATATATTTATTTTCTACTATATATATACATATTTTTTCTTGGTTTGTTAGATATTCGTTTCCCAATTTGAAGACGTAGTTCTTGATAAAGTGTTCACCTTCTCTCCTGGGTACGCATGTCATACAGTTCTTAACATATGAACTGAGTAATGAAATGTGCTTCTGGCCTTAGACTGCCCTCCTCTCTAATCTCAATGATACATGAAACGGTGGACATTATTTTTGTATTACAGTATTTTTTGTTCCGATTATTGATAGCTATTCTTTTGTGGTTATGATGCAAAAGTTTACTAAAAATTTATAGTCAAGTCTAATGGTGCGTTTCCTGTCATTAAGCTGATATGCACTTATTTTTGGCTCAAACTCTTCCACAAGTAATATACTAGATTAGAAGAATGGAAGTTCCAGATTAAACGTTGACATAACTATGGATTGAATCAGGGTATTCAACATGAAGAAGTGCTGGTGAAGTCATCATACCTTGCTGAACTGCAACGCCGTGTTCTTAGAGCTGAAACATCAGTTAGAGAAAAAGACGAGGAGAATGATATTATACTCCATCGCCTGCAAGAATATGAGAACCGTTGGTCTGAATATGAGCAGAAAATGAAGTCAATGGAAGAGATTTGGCAGAAACAAATGAGATCACTTCAATCCAGCCTTTCCATTGCCAAGAAAAGCTTCGGTTTTGACGATTCCCAAAGAAGCTCAGATGCCTCAGCAAATGGAAATGATGAAAGTGAGTCCAGCTGGGACCCCGGCAGCCACTTTAGACCTCTTGAAAGCAATGGAGGGAGATCTACAAGCCCTGCTCTAAGCGTCATTCATCGATTGGCAGAGGAATTCGAGCAAAGGAGCCAAGTATTTGGAGATGATGCCAGATTCTTGGTGGAGGTCAAGTCAGGTCAGGTCGAGGCAAGTTTGGACCCGGATCAGGAGCTCCGGCGATTAAAACAAATGTTTGAAGCTTGGAAGAAAGATTATGGAGCACGACTCAGGGAAACAAAGGTGATTCTCCACAAGCTTGGGAATGACGAAGGGCAATCAGACAAGGCAAGAAAGAAATGGTGGGGAAGAAGGAACAGCTCCCGAATTAATTAACCCGTACAAGCAATACACCCAACAGCGGAAAACATTTATGGTACCCAAGTCGTCTATATACACTTATACATACATACATACCAAAGGCTGGTTGGTTATATTTGCTGCATTTTACCAACATCTCCTCTTTCTCTTCAAGTTTTTGTGATATGAATCGATATTGCATTGTTTCATTGAGTTTGACTTTTGTCTACCACTCATTGTGCCTCTCCTCTACTTGTAGATATAAATTTTCTACCTTAGTTTTTGAAATCATCTGACAAATAAGGAGCTCGAGGTTGAAGAGCCAACTCATAAAGGATAAACATGTATGTCACAGGACAGTAACAGTGAGTTACATATTGATTTGAATTGATTTGATTTGATGATGGTTGTTATTGAAATATGAAATCAATGGAGTTAAATAATTAATTAATTGTTTTAGTTTGTGCTGTTGTTTGAAATCTATTAAAAATGGGACCTTAGAGTTGAATTTTGGTTTAAATATATTTTGATGTAATATTTTATAATATAACATATTTTATTTTTATTGGAGACTATTGAAGGAAATAATTAAAAAGAAAAGAATATGTGTATATATATACTATTTGTGATTTTATATGGCCCACATAATTTTTTACAATGGATGAACAGAAGTGATTTCAAAACTGATATCACAACCAATCACTTATATGTATGTTGTTTGGAGTGGCTCTGTCTCGTTCTACTTTCATACTGCGCTATTAATTTAATCTATTTTCACCGAGTTAGATGGGCTATTATAGTTTATAGCAGATGACCAACTTTATAAGAACTAGTGTTGCACAATTTTATATTTTATTTTATTTATAATAATAATAATTACTTGCGTTTCTATTTTATTTTTATATAGAATTTATTCAGTTAGAGCATCACATGTGGATTTCTCTCCCACGATATAAAATTCAGCATTGTGTTGAATATCACATCATGTGTGGTACAAGACAACATACGGTATTACTATAAACAACACATAATATACTTTAATATAATACAAATACAATACATATAACTTAACAGCACATTATATAGTCTCATACAACATATATAATATTTTTGATTTCAGTACATGATGTACTCTCGTACAACACACGTTATAATTATGAACTAATAACACATATTTTTATTACAAACAACACATGTTTGTATAATAAAGACTTGCGCTGATTTGGAGAATGAGCATAGTGCTGATTTTCCAAATTCAGCACCCTAACCTTTCCCCAAAAATATATATATATATATATCAAATATCAAACTTTTTCATACCAGAGTGAAGTCGTCAGTTACCTCTGCCGCACTCGTGTAAAACCCTTTACATCTGCCGCATTTGTGTAAACACTGATATTGATACTATATTTTCATCATGTGTTCCAATTTAATTGGAACATTTGACAAAAAAATATATTTTATTTTTAAGTATCTTTTATATACTTTATTTTTATTATATATATATTTATTAATAATTTTTATATTTTTATATTTTATAAAATGTTATTCTTTACAAAATAATGCCAATATTGATATATTTTTTTAATAAAATTTTAATTAAATATAATCAATTAATAATAATAATTTAATTTTGTAATTATCTTATAATTTATTCATTAAATTACACAAATAATTAAAATATATATAATTACTAAATATGTAACTGAAATTTAGAAAAAAAAAATTAAAAATAGAGTAAACTGTTTTTTAGTCCCGTAACTAGACCCCCTTATTATTTTAGTCCCGTAAGTGGAGCCTGCCGCAAACTAGTCCCATAAGTGAAAAATTTTCGTTGTTTTACTCCTCAAGCGCCGAAGACGCCCGCGTGGCTCGCCGGAATCTACGTGTACGCCAGGTGTCCCGCCAGGTCAGCGACACCTGGCGGACACGTGGATTTTATTATTATTTTTCAATTGGACCAAATAAAAAAATCTAAAAAAGCAAATAAATTAAAAATAAAGTTTAAAAAAATTAAAAAAATGAAAAATAAATAAATAAAATCCACGTGTCCGCCAAGTCCGGCGCCGGATGACTAAAACAACAAAATGTTTTTACTTATGGAACTAGTTTGCGAAAAACTCCACTTACAGGACCAAAATGATAAAGGGATCCAGTTACGGGACTAAAAAAACAACCCTTAAAAATAATATAAATTATGATATCATATGTAAAACACATCATAATAATATTAAAATCGAGAAACATACCAACATACATAATGAAATACTCCCTCCGTCCCCAATCTATCTATCCATTTGCTTTTTGCACGAAGTTTTAAAAATATTAATATTATATTGGGATAAAGTAGAAATAAAGGTAAAAAGACTAAATTAACCTATTAGTATTGTATGATATAAAGGTAATGACATTTGTGTAATATATTGTAAATTATAAGGGTATTTGTAATGTTAGGTAGATAGTACAATTACTAAAAAAGGAAACGGATACTATGTTATAGGACGGACCAAAATGGAAAAATGGATAGATTGTTAAAGGACGGAGGGAGTATTTTTTATTATTTATAAATTAAATTATTAAATTATTAAATAAATAAATATTAATAAATATGTATATTAGATAACTATTATTATTATTTAGATTATTTCAAAATAGATAATTTAATAATATGAAGAAAAGAGAAATTAAAATTTGTGTATATGAGTTTCTTTGATGGGGTATAAAATGAAATGAGTTTCTCCGATGACGTGGTAGAGATAGAATATGACGTGGAAGAGAGAGGAAAGAATCTCATGTTGGGTTTCATTGATGCGGATGGCCTTAGGTGTTCTTTCGGGGTATTTATTATATTTTTACTATTCATCCAAAATTTTCCTTTAAAACATATCAAATCAAATACAAATTTATATCACATCATATAATTATTTCAATTCAAAAATTTTACGATTTAAATTTCAAATCCAAAATTCCGGCCTGGGTATCCTCTTGAACCCATTATTAAGACCATCCTAAAAAAAAAATTTACAGTCATAGATGTGTAATTTGGTTCATATAATAAATAAAACAATTATTCATTTGAGTGTAGATATAGGGGAAGTAAATATAGATATAAACTTATCTTTTCACATTGCACATAATTTAGGAAAAAAAAATAAAACGTAAAAAATTCCACTCTCCGCTAATGTCAATCAAAAAATATATATATAATGAAAAACTTACAGCGTGAACCAAGATGAAACAAAATAATGTGAATTCTAGTGAGTTCCTGTACGCTGTAGACGAATATAACAATGAAGAAAATCCGGTCCACGGTAAGTGTTTTTCTTCTTCATCTATTGCGAAAGTAACATATTAATTGTTAGATGTATAGGACATTATATCTTCACCTTCGTAACATCATTTTGTATAGGCAAATGCATCATGATTATATTAGTAATACAACATATCAGTAGTAGCATTTTATGATTAATTGAATCAACACCCGAAACATTTGAGTATCCCATCCAATAATAAATTTATCCCAATTAGCGAACCCAATAGATGTGCGGCTGATATGTAGGCGCAAAAGAAACAAAATTAAAGTCATCCGCATTATTTCCTTGGGACGACTTTAGATTTTTATTGTTTTTGAAAAAATTACGTAAATATTGCGTAGAAAAACAATAACTTTTGTAATTTAATTTAATCGATTTCTCTACAAAATCATATTCGAAACTATCCTTATCATATAAGGCAAAGATCATCATATCTTATCTGATTTTATATACAATTGAATATAGTTTGCCCTTAAAATTAGGGTCAACATAAAAACAAAAATATAGAGAATTGAAACGGACACCAAATCCAATAATATCCATTTTTCCATTATTTTAACAACTAAAAAGTGCATAGAATAATTATTCCGTCTTAGGTTAGGTAAAAAAAAAGGTAAATAGTTTAATTAAACAATATTCGCTTTGACTAACAGCATCATATATTTTTTAAAGTATAGTATAGTATTGTACACATCATATTTTATAAAGTCGTATATCATTTGCTTTCCAAATGACGACTATTGGACCAATGCATCATTTATAACCCCCAATGATGCGTACAAATCATTTGTAGATACGCATATAGACGAGGTTTTTCCATGTAAAAACATATATAGAAAAAGGCAAAAAAATAATCCTCAGCACGTGCAATACTGACGCAACCCAGATAATTAAACAATACTAGTCGAAACTTAAAACTAAATTCAAATGAATACTAAGTAAAATAAAAGATATAGTACCGGTGTCCGATTCGTCAATCGATCGGATGTGAACCAAAACATTGCCTAGACCCAACACCTCTAAACCAATGAAGACTCGAACAATATGGCTAGAAACTCCAATCGGTTTCGGAAGCGACGAACCCAATGAATCAACTCAAGGACCCGATTTGAGAATGATACGCGTATGCAAGAGAAATCCTCACTCACACACTAATTCCAATATAATGGAATAAAGAAGAAAATTTTATATGATATAAGTTTCAAGATGTCTTACAAATTAGACCAAGTGCCTTATTTATAGGGAGACGCTAGCTTGGCAAAATGCTCTGCAACCAATGTGGGACAAAAATACACATTATTTAAAGCCTACAAATTTTAAAAATAAAATAAGGCCCAACTAATTAAGTAACTAAAAATGGTCCAATTAATTAGATTAAAAGAGCCTACCTTATTAAAGAAAATAGAACACCTCTTATTCCATATGGGATAATGATATGAGTAGTAACTCTTATGGGTATTATAAATTGTGGTCTTCAAGGGAATGAAGTGTATGGGTCATGGATGCACTCCTATGTTGACAACACTTGTCCCATTAGCCTCCATGCTTCGACTTTATACTTTTTTTCTCTTCTAAGTGTAGAATTAATGTCATAATATCAGTTTGAAACTTCTTGGTACGGTTTCGAGTGATTGGACCAGGTGGCAGTGCAGGTTCATCATAGTTTTTGACGACCTTGTCAAATACATTTATTATTGTGGAAATAAGGATGGGTAAAAAAAAAAAAACAGTAGACCTGATCTCAATCATAAACAACACTGCTCAAAATGTATACTGCTCGTCAGTAACATTGAATGTACTATGAACATGTTACTCACCCGGTAGCTCAATACGATAGACATTGTCATTGATGCGTTCTACAACTTGCAATGGCTCATCTTCTCTTTGGCTCAGCTTAGACTTCCATTTCTCTGGAAATCTACTTTTTCTCAAGTGCAACCACACCCAATCGCCTGGTTGGAACACTACATGCTTACTACATTTGTTAGAACTTTTAACATACCGAGCATTTGACTTTGCAATGTTATCCCGAACCTCTGAATGCATCTCGTTAAAAAATTCAGCCCGTTCCCTGCCATCACTATTAAAATACTCATT